GCTTTTGAAATTGCAAAACTATATACTTTATAGCAAAGAAAGAAAGAAAAGAAATTAGTATATCAAGATATACAGCTCTCACATACAATGCTGTCTGCGGTGGTAATTTGTTCTTACAGTGTAACTTCATCTTCATACAAGAACCTCATCAGTTTTCATCAATTAACTAAGTAATTCTGTGTTTTTTGACTTTTTCAAATGGGAAAACAGAGAGTCACAGTATCTTAGTCAGTGACACAGAAAAAATATAAGCTGATGTCATCTCCTCTAGGTGATCCTGCTCTGGCAGGGGTGTTGGACTAGATGATCTTTTGAGAGACCTTCCAATGCCTTACATTCTGTGATGTCCATCTTGACTGCATGAGGAGAAAAGTCTGACTGGCAGTTTTCTGCTCCAACAGTCACTGTATGTTTTCACTACTATTGCATGCAACCTTTAATGGTAAACAGTAAACACTGAATTAATTTGTGTGACAAAATTTATCATGTAAAACTTAGGGCTGAGTTCCTCAGACTTTAGTCATAAAAATTGTCATTAACTGCAAGGAATGTGAAAACATATGTGCTTAAGGACTTATGAACTAGGGCAGAGGAGTGGGCCAGCTATTGCAGAGTAACTCTAATTTCATGTTCTCCTTCCTGTTCCCACATGTATATCCCTACAGAGACAAATTCAGTAGTTATACAGATTTGTTGCTGTTTCTGCATGTGGATAGGTTTTCACACATTTTTTGGTAGTTTCTGAAGCATTATTTACAAATTATTGTGGCAAAGGTAGTTTCCAACGTTTACATTGATTCATTATGATGCAGATAATGTTGTTTGTCTGGTACGATTTATTCACTGAAGAAGTTAAGTACAGGGTATGAGGGAAAGATTCCTGTAGCAAAGATGCCCATGAGAAATGAAATGCAAGAAAACATGTTGGAATAGAAGAGTGAAGCTTAGCAAATATACAATGGTTACGTATCTGAGGTTTGGATTTTATGAAGCTTATTTTACTGTGTCAGAGGACAAATGTCTACAGATCTATTATAAATCTCTTTTTGAGGCTTTTCAGTCAAATACTTCTCATATGTACCAATGTTCTTTAAATTGTTCAGAATATTTCCTGATCACTACAGCAAATTAGATAAGTTTGTAAGCGGAACAAGTTTAAGCAAAGCATTTCCTCATCAGTACCCATTTTTATCAATTCTAAATACAGTTATTTAAATAACTATTTAATATGGGGAAAATCTGGTTCATTAACCTTTACGATTAGTTCCCAATAATTGATATTCCTCCTACAGAGCACATAAATTTACTTGTACCGAGTGTGCCTCCCTCTTTGTGACATGACTGTTCCTAAATGTCGTTGTCACTGTAACCTACATTACTGTGATTGCATATACTACAATAAATGAGTATTTAAAAGAATACATACAATGCAGTATTTAGCATATCATTAGTGTTATTTTGCTATTTTGTTTCCTTGAAGAAGCTTATGAAAAAGCAAAATCAAATACAAAGGCATCTGAAATCTTAGTGTAGACCTGGCCAGATGTAGATTTAATGTCCAGTTGTTCATCACAGTATATTCTGAGTTCTCCTAAATAATTTTGTTCAAGAAGTTTATAAATAACAGCTTTTATTTAGTATTATAGGATTTTTAGAGGTTATGTCATATACTTTTAAAATGTTCTTTTTTCCTGGTTTAAAAATGACTTCATTAAATATTTTACACAGGCTTTCTAATAATCAAAATACAGTGTACTGGGATCATTACAGTTGATTGCATTGCTGGAGCTATAACATGCAAAAAGCCAAAATCTGGGATACATTCAACGTTTTCAAGATTACAGTGCTTTAAGTTACTTTTCTTTCCCTGCTTTTACTGATTTACAGTTTGTATTTGTCAGTGCGTTAAGGCAACTCATTGAGCAGGTGTTAAGCCCTGTCAGGTCTCTAGAATAGTATTCAATAGGTTTTAACTGAATACAGCTTTAAAAAAAAACATTCTTGTCTGGAGGCTAATAAATATGCAGTGTACATGTTCACCTTCTCCTTTCATTTGATTTGACATATGCAGCCAAGGAGTGGATATTTATCCATTTGAACAGAAGATGTTGTGTTAGTCTCAGTAGAGGATCTGCCTAGAAAAACAGTCAAGTAGCTTGAGCCATCCTGTGTGATGGTCAATATGCAATAAATGAGTGCAAGAAGTTCTCAGTATCAGCTAGTATATCATCCTGGATTGTATCAGCATGGATTGCTATCTACTGGATCCTTATGTAAAAGAGGGATCTATTCTTCTATATATGCCACTGAAAGTATAACTCATTCTATGCTTCTGAGAGAGACTGGAGTAATAATAATAGGGTAAATTCTATGCTATATGCCTAGAGTAGCAAAAAAAAAAAAAAGATTTGTGAAACATAAAACATAATGAGGGTTCTACCTCCTTGTAATTAGGTGTTAACATCTTCAGGGTAGTGAAAAACATGGTATTATAAAGTGTAATGTGCAGAACATTTTTTGGCAGTCTGTATAATTAACTACTTTTCCATGTTAGAGGGGTCTCATACAGGAAATCCTGTGACACAGCTGTTGTACCTGCCTTCTGTTCCTGTTTTATTGGTGTTAAGGTCTGTGCTGCTAAACACTGGCGGTGTTTGTAATTATGCAACCTTCCAGCAACAAAAAGTACATTTCAGCCTGCTGATTTATGGGCAATTATGTGACTCTCATGCTTCAGAGCAGTAGGTTTTAATAACTTTGGTTTAAGTAATTTGATGTTTTCTGTGCTGCTTCTCATCTTTTTCAGTGCTTTCTCATACTTTGTCTAGTTCCCAAACCAATTTTCAATTGTTATCGAAAGTACTGTAGGTGTTGATTCACTTGGATGATGTCTTCAGGGGTACTTTTACTGTCTTACCTTAGTACCATGACTCAATTAGGGTGCAAATCTAGTTTTTGTAACTACTGTCATTGAGGAGTGACCAATGAAGGATGGTTCAGAGCAAGAGCTTGACATGGGCGATCAGAGATTGTATCTGAAGTGTGAAGCTATGCACTGTGGAAACCAGAGGTGCTTCCCAGACTTGGCTTGCATATGAATGCCAGGTGACTTTTGACTTAATGTTGGGATGAGGCAAATTCTGGCCTGTAACCTTATTTGAGGGTAAGGATACCAAACTGCTTAAGCTAGAAGGGAGCTGCTTTGTGCTCAAACAGGTTGTTTGACAGACACGTTACAGTCACTAGGTTTACAGGGCACCATAAATCTCGCCTTTCAATCTAAATATATTCTAAGTTGTCCTCTATAAGAATCTGTCTCTCTTCATTACTGTAGACCAAACTCTGGGAAACAAACCTCACTACTGAGACATTTAGATAGATTATGAGATTTTTTAGGCCTTTACCTCCTGTTGGATTAGGCTATCAGCTGCTATAATCCTCTTGTTTTATTTGCTGACTTATTTTAGCAAAAAATTATTCGGTGTTATATCACGCCATAATACCAATAAAACCATAACTACTCAAACTTCAAACAGGAAATAATAACATAGAAGGTGAGGAAAATAAATTGCATTTATATCAACTGCCTGTGATGCGAGGCTGGGACAAATTAATCTCCAGTGACCTGTTTGCTCCATTGATTGGTGTTATGGAACATCATCCATTATCTGTTGCATTACTAGGAAATAAAAAAGAACTATGATTAAATATACCCTTGTAATGAGTTGTAATACTGCTTTATTATATATATATGAGAAAATAGACTCTTTTATTATTGTGGCTATTAGAGCACATCAGATCTCACATGAAGTCTGCTTTTAGCAGTGGAGGTTTTTTTCCACTTTATGCCAAAATTATGTCTCATTGAAATGTTAGTTCATCCAAGCTGAGCAATGAAGAGAGGGTGTTTTGGTTTTGGGAACTAGAAACCTTTGCTTTCTCCTGATTTGTTACAGCATTTCTACCTTTTCAGGACCAGTATTTCATTTGTTATGTTCATCTTTTCAAATCTATGCTTCTACAGAACAGAAGTAAGAGATCAAGTTGTTGTACGAGCATCTTTTTTCGGAACTACCCAGAAGTAAATTGTTAAACCTAAACTCATTTCAAGAATTTTGTAGTCTGATTGTCATTTTAGTGAATTAGCAGGTGTAAATACTAGTATTTTGTGAATGCTGGTAAGCTCAGAGAATCTACGGTATTTCAGTTTGACCCAATTTAAACTTTTTGTTTTTGAGAGATTTATTGTGATCATTGAAGTCCTGACCAGCTGAGAGCCATAGTTCCACAAACTGGGATGTATTTAGGAAGACAGAGTTTAATATATGACCTTCTTATGCAAAATTCCTAAATAATCTCTTTATAGATTTTTCAGTATTATAATTGTTGTGTTTGTGAATATAAAGACATATGTTAAGCAATTTATCTTAAGTAGAAGCTGACACAGTGCTAACAGCACTAGAAGCCTGTAAGGCCTGGAGGAGAGGAGAGAAAATACAGCAACTTAGTGTAGCATCAGCCGTGAGAAAGCAGCAGTGTTGCTCAGCCAGCCACACCGCTTTAGGGATCTTGCCTTGATACAACTGCTTGTGTCGCTCAGACTGAGAGAGGGAAATTTCTGTGACATACTCGACGGTAGGCAAAATATGTTGATAGATTGAAATGTAGCTGTGATAGTACTTCTATAAGTTGTGCATATTTTAAAGACTCATAAGTGATTGTTGGTGTGTTTCTTTGCTTCTTTTAGGGAGCAGGAGGTTTGGCCATTGTATTATTAGTGGCAGAAAACATCTAGTGTTACAGTCCTGCACCAGAAATGTTAAAAAGTTAATATGGTGGCAAAGCAATGGTTAAATGATACATTGATAGTAAGCATTATAAAATGTAAAGAAGAGGAACAGCCAGTCTTTCTGCTTCTGTTTGAAAGGAAGGGAGGTAGCATGTAATGCTGGTAAGCTTTTATAATATCTGAAGTCTTCCCTTTTCAGCGCAACCCTCCCATGCTGGTGAATGATCTGTTTGAAGATATCAAAGATGGGGTAATGTTAATTGCTCTTTTGGAGGTTCTTTCAGGGCAGAAGCTGGTAAGAACTTCCTTCCTTCTGAATATACAGGATATTTACATAACTTCTCTAGGATATAATTTTCTAATATGTTTCTGTATTTGAATGCTGTATAAAACGTAACTGCTACATACCAAAATACGTTTATTCGTAGAGTGGGCTATAGGGTTGCAAAGCCCCCCAAAAAGAGTGTTACAGACTAACATTCTTGATTTTATGCATTGTCTGTTAATTTTATATTAATACTTCATGAAAATTGCTTATTTGTGTTAGTCTTTTTGGTTCATCTGGGTGTTATTGCTATGACACAGACAAGGTCTAAACTGCATGCTACTTGTATGCATCTTGAAATGCTGACAGTCTTTTCTTGTTTAATTTATGTCTTTCTGTCTGAAAAAATCCTGTGAGCCCCTCAAATTTTTGTGAGTTCTTATATCCATTTACCTTGACAGCTGCTGTGCTACTGTAAAGAACCTTAACTGATGCCAAATGGCTTTTTCACAGCCAAGTTGTGTACAGAGGCCATGGAGTGTGCATGGCAAATAGGCTATCTCTTGACAGACAAGTTAGTTTTGTGCATGTGGCATGGAAGAAAAATGAGAGAGTTTTAGGCTGAGGGCTCTCACT